CTTCCCCCCCCCTCCCTCACCCTTCTCTTCCCTCTCCTTCACTCCTGCATAGCTTGAATGCCCATCCAAAAAAACACACTAACTCTCTCACTCAGTCATCTTCGCACCGATAAGACGTTGAATTTTCCCTCTTTCATCCATCATCATCTCAGCCACCAAAATGAGAGAACACACTCCACTATACACAAAAGCATCAATAGACAGAGGAAGCACACCTTTGCATCCCTTCTTCCATGGCCTTCACACGGTGTGCAACTTGGAGAAGACCATCTCCTCCCCCTCACCCATAAACACTTTTACCCAGTCTCTCTCTAACCGATCAACGAAAGGTCTGCATGACACACAGAGAGAGAGAGAGGAAGAGAGATTATAGGACAGCAACAGATGCTGAAAAACTTCCAGCAGAGTCATGTATGGACCAGAAATTGCAGAAGGGATCCGAAGGCGCGATCGGAACCTAAGGCTCACATGCCCACGATGCGGCAGGTAAGCAAGCAAGCAAGGAGATCGACAAGCAGTGGAAAGTCACTTGGAGACTGGAGAGTGCAAGCATGCACACACTCACATGTGTGCTCATTCAACCAGGTCAGTGATGGTGTGACTATGTGTGAGTAAAAGAGTGTGTTATCAAGAGGACAGCCAGGGAGGAGAGAGAGAGAGAGAGAGAGAGAGAGAGAGAGAGAGAGAGAGAGAGAGAGAGAGAGAGAGAGAGAGATGGCAAGGAGTGCATGTGCCACTTCGTGTAGACTGGCGATCGAGGACTTCATCACATCAACGCATACAGAGTGATTACTGATGCTTTCAGACCCTAGTCCCATTACCAGATAGACCTTCTACTATCTTGAAGCCCTCAATCTTTTTCGAAACTTCGTTGACGCCAACACGGACGGCAGCACTGCGATAGGCGCCAACCACTCCACCCCCACTGCTTCCAGGGTCACCAACAAATGGCTCCGCAATGTCAGCACCACCACCACCAATCCCATCCAAATCCTCTGGTTCCCAGATGCGCCAGATGCGAATAGTCCCATCTTCCGATCTGCAAACCCATGCACAAACAACCATAGAATCAATGCACTCATTCAATGGACCATATGACACCAATGATCGACAACAGAAATGACCACCATCCCTCCACAACTCTCCCTCTCTCTCTCTCTCTCTCTCCCTCTCTCTCTCACACACACAACAAAAAAACGACCACCATCCCACCACAGATCTCTCTCTCTCTCTCTCTCTCTCTCTCTCCCACACACACACATACACATATTGACTTACAAACAGTTGAGGTCCTCGAGAGATTACAGCCCCATCAGAGGAAAGAGGAAAGGATCAATGCTGATGACAACAAGTAGAGAAGTCAGAAGTTAGTTCTTGAGCATCTTTGCTCCCTTCTCGTTCTCTTTGTTCACCATGGGCTTACCCTGAAGCGTAGGACTCCCCTCCCGGCGCAAAGCGCACACAATGGACAGGCCCATGATGTCCTTTATTGCAATCTGCATTGAAGCCAAACATGCCAACACTCCTCAAAATGAGTCGGGTGGGGTGGGCGTTGCTATCTGTAAATTTATGAAGCCAAACATGCCAACACTCCTCAAAATGAGTCGGGTGGGGTGGGCGTTGCTATCTGTAAATTTATGCCGCAGGGAACCAACCAAGCTGAGAAGACAAAATGAACCGAGCGAACAAACACAATGAACAACGTTCGAACTTCAAACCCAGAGGATAAGACAGCAATTAGCTGACAGATAACAGTCCATATGATGACTAAATGATACACAGCCATGACCTGTCTGTCGATAAACAGACCCTGAGTTTGAATCCCTGATGTGACTGAAATCATTTCCAATTTCAGGTCGGTGGCGATACCTCAAGGTGGGTAGTCAAATGGGCACCAAGAGAAAAAAAAAGTTGGTACACCGTCCAGTCGCATGGGAGCCAGGACAGAAAGACAGCGCAACATTCCCGTAATAATCCTTATGGACCAGCGCCCTGAATTCCCACAACCATTCTTGTTCCCCAGCCATGAACACAACCAGGGTTCAAAAAAAAAAGAAGAAAAAAGCAGAAAAAAAAGAGGACCAGGGTGTCCAGTTGATGTAGCTCAATGGTTAGAACACCAGTTTGAAATGCGCATTGTGATACGAGGTTGCGGGTTCAAAACTCCGCAGCCTTGCGCATGGACACCGGCAGGGCGTTAGAACGAGGCACGGCTGAACCCATAACCTCTTGGGCTGACCCATGGTAAGCTATTATCCTATTATAGACACTATAGACACTGCCGGCGCATCGCCCAAGGGTTGTCCACGGTGCTGTATGTCGGGTCTTGACACTGCCTGGGTTGCTTGTCACTGTTGCTCGTGGTTGTTCAGTTGATCTCCTCAGTCTTGTATATCACACACATGTGCCGTTTGCGATTGCTGTTCAAATGGTAGAGTCTGCACATCACATGTCATAGATCATGGGTTCGAGTCTGACTTGGGACTTTGGGGGGGTTCTTGTCCAGCTTGGCCTGTCGTCTCTTCAGCGAACACATAGTTCCCTCTACATACTACTGCACATATCTGGCGTCCGGGCATATACGTCTCGCTATACAGTTACACACAGCACATATAGCCTTCGGGCAGACACAAACATGGCTCATGAATATATACACATAGCCTAGCCGCCGCGCCCTGCTTACGTACTCCTGCTGGGTAGAATCTCTGAACTGGGCCTGTAGAAGATTGCATGAGCCTGGCGGCCGAAGTTCCCGTACAGCAAGGTTTGTCCGCTGTATCTAGACTGAAAGATGCCTCAAATACAGCTATAATGACCGTACGTTGTATTCGGGGGAAGAAGGTAGGGCTGGGGGGTTGGCCCAGCCTTGGTGCTTATCACTGCTGTCTGGTCCAAGTTGCCCTCGATACTGGTAGGGTGATGGTCCTGAGTGCTGGTCACACTGAGGTAGGATAGTAGAGGCAGGGGGTGCGCTGGGAGTATTAACGTGGGGATGGGTAGGGTAGGTGGCCTATCCTGTCAGGACACCATTGGCTGCCCTTTACTAGCAATCACCACGGGTCTGGTCCTTGGCCTCTACAACACCCTGGCGTCCAAAGTTCCCGTACTGCAAGGTTCGTCCACTTCCGCTTCCACTAGGGCTGGGGGGCTGCCCAGTCTTGTTGCTTGTCACTGCTGTCTGGTCCAAGTTGCCCTTGATATAGGTAGGGTGATGGTCCTGAGTGCTGGTCACACTGAGATAGGATAGGGGGTGCATTGGGAGTGTTAACGTAGGGATGGGTAGGGTAGGCGGCCTATCCAATCAGGACAACCATTGGCTGCCGCTGCCAGCAATCACACGGGTCTGGTCCTTGGCCTCTACAACACCATGGGTTTTATTACCAAAAAAAAAAAAAATTA